AAAAAATTAAACGAAGAATAGACTTTGGTCTATTGGTGTGTGTGTGCGCCATTGCATGCAAGTTTTCTGTATTTATAACCACCTCAGAGGATATTGGGGGTCGCGAGTCACTGGTATTGTTATATTAGGGGTCGCGTGCTGAAAAGTTTGGGAACCCCTGTGTTAAAGAACCAATATCAACAGATATTAAGCAGACAGTCTACTAATACTTAAATGGACCATCAAAATAAAGTATTACCTAATAATAATAATAATAATAATAATAATAATAATAATACATATTTCAGTGTTTTCTGAAGGATCGTGTGATTCTGAAGATTGGAGTAATGAATCTGAAAATTCATGTTTAAAATCGCTGTAATAAATTAATAAATTAAATGATTACTTTTGAACAGTTATTGGTTAAAGTGCAATAACATTTCAGATTTTTACAATTTTTACTGTATTTTGATTTTAAAAATCCAGCCTTTGTGAGCAGGATAAGCTTATTTTAAAAAATTGTACTGACCAGAAACTTTTGACCAGTATATATGTTAATTTAATTTTATTTCATTTTAAGGTAGATTGGCAAAACATGGGATACACCATCGCCAGGTTCAAAAACTCACTGGTAAAAAAATAAACCCTAGTCAGTGCTGACTTTGACTTTGAATCCCAGGTTGCTGACCTTTTCTGATCCATCCCAATTACCACACTTTAAATGTATGCTTTTACCTCATGTCTCATGACATTGCTTCAAAATTGCTTTCAAAACACAATTTACTCTAAAAATAAAAAAATAAAAAATAAATAAAAAAATTTTCACTTGAGCATATAATTAAAAAAATGTGTTTTGGGCTTTAATTACCATTTAAATACCATAATATGCCTAAATACTGTTGCTGACCATGTCTATCTCTTATGTAGTATGGTACTGTATGGTACGGGTCACCCGTATCAGGCTTGCATTTCACTGCCAATGGTGCCCTTTTGATGTGCGTGTTGTGCTACAGAAAGTTTCAATCGATGTCATTCTCTCTTCTGGAATTGTCAAAGTAAAGCTGTTTGGGTCACTTCACACAAAACAGATGCTTTATGCACATATTGTAAACACTTGTGTATAAATGTTCATTATTAGCCTTTCTATGAACATGATTTGATTATAGCTGCAGATCAATGACAGTGTAAAATAGACTACTGCAACGTCTGCTATTATATAAAATAAATAAAGATATGGAAAATATATATACACATACAGACCCTTACAGTCTCTGATATGTGACTATTTACAGATAAACTACTTACAGCAAACATTACTTCATTCATTTTCTTGTCGACTTAGTTCCTTTATTAATCCAGGGTCGCCACAGCGGAATGAACCGCCAACTTATCCAGCAGGTTTTTACGCAGCGGATGTCCTTCCAGACGCAACCCATCTCTGGGAAACATCCACACACACATTCAGGGGGGGGACCACATTCAGACCGGAGCACCCAGAGGGAGAACATGCACACTCCACACAGAAAAGCCAACTAAGCCAAGCCTCAAACCAGCGACCCAGCAATCTTTTTGCTGTGAGGCGACGGCACTACTTACTTCACCACGGCTTCACCCATTACAGCATACATTTAGTCCTAATTTGAGTTCTGTGTCTTCTGTATCTTTATTTTTCACCAGAACATAACCTCTTGTTAATCAAAGTTTGTTTGAGCTCAGGTCAACCACGGATCATTATTATATGTATATATCATGACAATGTAATGTCTCGGCTGTGTATTTAAAAATGGCATTTGCTTTGTTTTTATTCTCCTCGCTTGTGCATGCGATAGTGACATTTGTCTGTAAACTAATAGCGTTCAGCTGCGGGTCTAGCTCCGCCTTTTGGTATCCTATTGTTGTGCATGGTATACTTTGGAAAAAAGTTCTCAAAAAGTGGTACAATGCGGTTCACTTTTAGGTACTTTTTGACAGTAGAAAACAACATAAAAACGTACTGACCCATACTGTACCATACCACTTCAAGCAGGATAACACTGCATGCCACAAAGATCAAATCATATCAAGCTGGTTTCTTGAACATAATGAGCTCACTATACTCAAACAAACTCTAAAGTCTCATGATTTCAATCCAAAAGAGCAATTTTGAAACGTGCTAGAGCAGTAGATTCACATCATGGATGTTCGGCATTAAAATCTGCAGCGATTTGTTTTAGGCTATCATGTCAGCATAAACCAAATCTCTGAGAAAGGTTTGCAGTGTCACTTCAGGACAAGAAATAATGAAATTCTGAAGGCAAAAGAAGGTCCAATCCAGTTCTAGCAAGGTACACCTTGGTTCAGCCTAAAAGAAAAGTGGCTGGTGAGTGTATAAGCCTCTTACAATAAAGCACAGTGCTAGTAGTTGGGCATTTATTCAGAGTAGCCAGTAACAGAAGGTGTGCAATTAAGGTCCTTGAGTCCTTGTTTTTTTTTTTTTTTTTTTTTTTTTTTTTTTGAGGGCACTTTAGAAGAAGAAAATGTCCCCAAAGGGCTCATAGCTTTAAACAAGCTGCTCTAGACAGGTAGAAGGTCTTATTTTTGGCTCCGTCTGCATGTGTGCGTTTGAATAGGGGAAGTAAATGGGCTTGAAACCCCACAGACTGCACCTGCTTCACAGTCTGTCTTTGCTCACATTATGACATCAAAGCACAGCCACCGCTATACTATCCAGCTATATCTCGCTCTTACTTTTCCTGGATAGGTCAGAATTTTCGAAACAGAGCCAAGGACAAGAGAAAGCCCTGTGTTTGTTATGGATGGAAGAGCATCTGACCGTGAACCGCTCACTATGTGGTGTTATAGAGAGTTGCACGCCTACAGCTTGTGTTTATTTCTGTTGAGGATGCTGACAGTTTTTTGAGAAGATTCTGAAGGAAATTTGATAAGTTTGTTGGCATTCCCAAACACAGACTCCCAAGGGCACCAACACACATACTGCCTTTCTCTTCCAAATTTAACTATGCCATCATTTTCCTGTCAGACTTCTGTTTCAGGTGGGAGGTTTTAAAATCTTCACACTTGAAGCAACATCTTTTACAGAGCTGTTCGTGAAAGTCAAATTAGCCCAATTTGAAGGCATTTGAAGAAGGAGAAAGAGACGTTACCATAAATAAGAAATGAACTAAAATCTTACGAGTTCTGACCAAAGAAAACAGAAATGATGTCTTTATTTGTCGTTGTGTGAGAGCTTCGCTTCTTATCCAACTGCTGTCAACGCTTTCTCAGATCCACAGGAGATACATTCTTGTGCTTTGACTTCATGCTGTTTACTCCACTGCATTAAAGAGAGGCAAAAATAAATGTCACACACCTCTAAATCTGTGACAGAGCTTACCTGAAGGAGCAAAGTTTCCATTTGCTCAGCTCTTGGGAATTTTTAGGAATGAAAACTGAAGATGTGTTGCTGAGGTTTAATTTACAGGAAACATTAAGGAATATGCCGAGGCAGAGGTAAAAATAAGAAGAAATTGGTATTTAAAATATCAGCTAACAACTGATAATTAACTGATATTAACTGCTAAGATTTGTCTGATAATTACAACTTTCATCATTTCATTTTAGTGTATGTCTTGCTTTTTATTAAAAAAAGATTAACATGCTTAATTATTTAGGCTAAAACTATTCTATTATGTGTCAAGAAATAATTTTAAATGCCTACAGCTGTTGTTGCTGTTGTTAAAGTATTATTTGATTTCTGTGTTTAACATACTCTGGGCCCTATCATACACCTGGCGCAATAAGGTGCAAAATGTGTTTAGCACGATTTGTTGCTATTTTAAACCAGCGCAACCTAGGACGTGTGTTTGAATATAACTTATCGTTATTATTGTTCATTTCTTTGTTTGCTGAATTTAGAAATAATTTTTGAAACAAATCTTTGCACTTAACAAATTAAATTAAATATGTAGGCTAATGAATCTCTTCAGTGGAGTGTGTACAACCCCGTTTCCTCATCCACGAAAGTAAAGGAGTAAAGAGTAAAAGTAAAGTAAAGTGAAGTGTAAGAGGCCGTATGGAGGAGGCTCATTATGTATCCTTGTGCTGCAGTATTTGTTTAACTGTTCTTTTACTAGTGCAGCGTTTAGTTTTTTCCACTTTCAAAGTCTGCCATGTAAATAGCAAATGTGCTATGGTGTGATGCAACTGACCCTTAACGGTAATGGGAGATGAGACTCTGATTGGTTTAATGCATGTTATGATCAAAACACACCCGAAACTCATTAAGAGAATAAGCACAACCCTGTTAGACCATGTGTTGCTGCACAAACCATATTGTTCCATCCTACAAAATAGCAAAAAAGTGGATTCGAACACCCCCCCCCCCCTGCTTTTGCGCAATGTGTTTTAGACTTTGCACCTAGATCATTAAAATAGAGCTCACTCTAACATTTATTTATTCTAAGTACATTTATTCTAATTTATTCTATCCACACTAATTTTACAAGATTTAAACTTACATTTAAACTTAATGACAATAATAATATTAATAATAATATTAATAATAATAACTTTTTTTAATTCAATATAAAAAGTCAACATATATTTACGTTTAAACTTGTCATTTTGCTTTTGTAATATATATTTATTTATTTTCATTTGTTTCTGTCAGATTGCAAATTATGTGACAAAACTACTTTGTTTGGAACTAATTCTGAGTAGTTTAGGAATTAACTCCTGCCAATGATTCACAATTACACATGAAAGTTTTGTTTGTTTGTTTGTTTGCTTGCTTTGGAAATGTTTACATGAACGGGACATTTCATCCAATCCGTATCTCTACATAATAATAGGACCAGGATGTACACCCAAATGACTATCTCAAGATTATCACGTAAATAGTTTTTTTCAAAATAGTAACCCACAGGTATAATTGTATTTGCTGTGAGAATAGAATACAACAATGAGTGTTACTTACATGTTCCTATTCTCTCTCTTTCCTCCTCCTGCTTCATCGCTGCCCTCTTCTATCTTCGCTGGAGTAGTGGATCACTTGGGCATTGAGTTCATGGGTAAGGAAAAGAAAGTGTTTTCTTATTGGCACAGTGATGAATCATGCTTGCAGAGTTTATACGAGCCGAGGCGGCTGTGTATCTGCTTTTGTGCAGTCGTGCTTCTCTTTTCATTGCATGTGTTTGAATGTGAACGTTCCTGTTATCTCTTTTGACTGTGCTCTGTATGTGGGCTAAAGTGTTGTTTTCCCTTCTTGACTCCTCACAACAAACTGTATGAAGAGACCCATGAGTCTTCACAAAATGCGTTTGCATTTATAGAGACGTACAATTTCAAGACTTCATTCATGTTTGACAAGACTAGAAGTTGCCTGAACAAGTCACTGTGCTGTTTACCAACGCATTGTGGTTTAGAGACTTGATTACTATATCAAATAACCACTCTGTGCACTCCATCTAGCGTAAGGTCAGAGATTAGGAATAAATTATAAATGCTCAAGTTTGAGATCAGACGTGTCAGTTTACTGCTTTTCATTTGCTATGAATCTACTCTTTTCTCTCCACCAATCACGTGTCTGCGTTCCACAGCAGAATCCCAATGCTCTTTAGTCTCCTTGGAAACGGCATTGAAATGTTGAGAGGACAGTGGCAGGAGACAGTGAGGGGAAATTCATATTGTTGGCAGAGTTGAAGTCTTGATGTCTGTAAAACACATGTTTATCTATTAAAGGGTTCATGAACTAAAAATGTTTGACACATATAAGGTCATCGTACCTGTTTCAGAATATAATTAAAAAAGGCTGTTCATGACCTAAAACCTCATGTGTGTTGACTTAGTTTTGTTCTTTTGGTAATATACTGTACCAAATGTTGTGCTAAAGGTCATCACATAATTTATTGCTTATTTATTTATTACCTCATTATTAGGTGAAGTTTCATAAGAATTTAACGCATCACCATCTGGTGCCTCAGAGGGAGAATTGTCTATCAGTATTTTGATTATGGAGCTCAGTAGATTCCCAGAACTACTAATCGATGGGCGAATGAGGGTAACAGACAGATGGATTTTGTTCACGTTGATTTCCAATTTCCATTGCTGAGACCACCAGCACACATCTTCCAGAAGATTCCTGATTGAGAGCAGCCAGCTCTTCACTCACTTTGATATCTGGATTTCGATTTTTTGTTGTTGTTGTTTTTTTTTGTGTTTTTTTTCCCTTTGTCCAAGCAAACTCTGCAAGATAGATGCACTCACTTCTGTCAGCACACTTACAGACAAGCTGACATTTCGTCAGGTTAATAACTGAACTGGAGCTGTTGGTGAGCCTAACATATTTGACTACACCATGGGGTTGTTCAATTCTAGTTTCTGATTGGCTGATGAGCATTTGCAAACTGCACAGCTAAAGTAGTTGCAGACAGGCTTTGCCTGCATTACAATCATTACGCTGAATGGTCTCAGTTACTTCCAACACCAATAAAACAAAACTAAACAAAAAGCTTTGGATGGTAGGCATAAAACCCTAGTCCTATAGACAGAAGCAGAAAAAAAACCTATCGTCTATCATCTATCTTGACCAGGAGTGCCAAAACTTTTTTCTTATGAAGGACCAAAAACCACAGTTGATTGAGGCTAGTGTGCTGAAGGTAAAAATAGGTTGGGCAATTTACCATGAGTAAACCTTGCTTATAAATATATATATATATATATATATATAGATGTCGCTTCACAACAAGAAGGTGGCTGGGTCGCTGATTCGAACCTCGGCTCAGTTGTCATTTCTTTGAGGAGTTTGCATGTTCTCCCTGCGTTTGTGTGGGTTTCCTCCAGGTGCTCCGGTTTCCCCCACAGTCCAAAGACATGCTGCAGGTGAATTGGGTAGGCTAAATTGTCTGTAGTGTATGAGGATGACAGGCCCAAACGACAGGCTGGCCGGAATGTGTAAAAAAAAGTCGTTATTATATGGACAAGTCTAAATGGAGGACTTGTTCCAAAGAGCCGATCCCGCATGTTTATACATATTATAATGAACTTAATACAATAAAAACAAAACAATCTAATTTATAACAGAATTACACTAGTCGAGTGACAGTATTTACATTTTAAAAAATTCAGAAACATTTAATTGAAACATTTAATTTCAATTTGCTTTTTTTGTAGCTCAGCAATAAAACAAAAAACAAAAAAGGTTACGTCAAATTAGAAATGACGATCCCTGTGTTATAGTCATTCGCCCCATCCCCCAATCATACTCCCTAATACTCATCTTCTCCCAAATGCGATGGTGGGCCAAATCAAAGGTTACAATGGGCCATCTTTGCCCCGCGGGCCCTAATTTGGGCATCTCTGATCTAGATAGATCTGTATGTCTGTCAGTCGGTCAGTTTGTCATCTGTCTGTCTATCTGTCATTGGTTAATTTTTAATTTGTTCATTTTTTTTATTCATTTGTTGTACTTTTTTTCATTTGATTGTTCTTTCAATCATCCATTCATTTGTTCATTCTTTTATTCATTTGTTTGTTCTTTCATTAGTTTGTTCATTCATTTATTTCTTCATTTGCTAATTAGTTCATTCTGTCTGTTTGTCTCTTTGTCTATTTGTATATCTATATAGTGTCCATTCATTTGTTCATTCAATTGTTTGTTATGTCTATTTATGCATTTGTCTATCTATCTATCTATCTATCTATCTATCTATCTATCTATCTATCTATCTATCTATCTATCTATCTATCTATCTATCTATCTATCTGTCTGTCTGTCTGTCTGTCTGTCTGTCTGTCTGTCTGTCTGTCTGTCTGTCTGTCTGTCTGTCTGTCTGTCTGTCTGTCTGTCTGTCTGTCTGTCTATGTATCTGTCTGTCTGTCTGTCTGTCTGTCTGTATATCTTTCTGTCTGTGTAAGTTTATATCTTTCTATCCAATTCAAATATATCAACTCAATTCTATATCAATTCAATTCAAAATTGCTTTATTGGCATGACTGTAAATGACACTACATTGCCAACGCTTGAAACAGGAGGACAAATATAATACTACAATAAAATATCAAAATAAAATAATAGAAACAAAATATCATAATAATTTAAACTTAAATAAACAATGTAAGAAAAAAAGTGAACATTTCAGAACATGCTATATAACATATAAACACACATAAAGATAAGGGGTCACTGTGGTAGACAGTAGTGTCTGTCTGTCTGTCTCGTTAATTTGGTCATGAGTTATTTATTCATTAGTTTGTTTGAATTCCTTCATTCATTTGTTCATTCTTTAATTAATAATTTAATTAATTCAGTTGATTGTTTTGTCTAGTTCTTCTATCTATCTATCTATCTATCTATCTATATCTGTCTGTCTGTCTGTCTGTCTGTCTGTCTGTCTGTCTGTCTGTCTGTGTAAGTTTTTATCTTTCTATCGGTGAATCCACCTCTTTGTCTATCTAATTCGGAATAACTGAAAGTCAAAGGAGGCCTCCTACAGTCTTAGACGTCATGGGCACACGCAAATGAAAGCCGTAAGACCAGAAGACCACCTGAAGTGTGTCACTGGAGGCAGGTCCTAAGTGTTTTGATTCTGCCATCTGAGAAAAGAACATTGTGAAGGCTGAGACGGGCTTTCATGCCCTGCTTTATCTCACTCAGCTGCAGGACTCAGCGTGACAGCTTGTTTAAGCCTTCGTTTTAACATTTATTTTCTGTGTGATGGTTTGATAGTTGCCATGTGCACACTCAGAGCTCAAAATGATACCTGTGAAGACAGTGTCACTTCCTCTTAGCTGCAGTGGCATAGAGTGCACTACATTGATGCAAGAGAGTAGAGTGATTCCAGCAGACCTTTCAAGACGACATACCAAGCTCTGCTTTCTATTAAAAAAGTATAGAAAAAAATGGATCCAGTAACAGTTTAAGGGGGAGTATTTTTTTAGTTCCGGAAGCAATTAAAACTGAGTGGAAATTTTTAGATTAGTTTTAGTTTGTTATTGTAGCAATTAAGACATCAATTAAAAATGTGTGCTTTATTGAAAACATATTCAAGTAAACAATACATTGGATTTCTTGTAAAAGTTTTTAAAAGCAGTGCTTTTCTGAGTAAAATCATGTCATTTAAAAAAAAAACTCTGTCAACTTCTAAAATCTCAAGGTACTACACTTAACAACAAACTGGTACCAGAAAATTTAGTAGGTTTGACATAATTGTAATATATAATTATAAATATTTTGATTTGTAAATTCAAAAATCAGCAACAAAAATAATTTACTTAGGAAACCAAGCCTTAATTTATACAAGCTTGAATTTTGGTATATTGTTGCGCACACACACACACACACACACACACACACACACGCACACACACACACACACACACACACACACTCACACATACATACATACATATATATATATAATAACTACTGTAGGTGACGCGGTGGTGCAGTAGTTAATGCTGTTGCCTCACAGCAAGAAGGTCGCTGGTTCGAGCCTCGAAGTTGTTAGTTCATTTTAACTTAAATTGCATCAACTAATGTTAACAGGCATGCAAACATCTTAACCATGCAACAGTAAATCTTGAACTATGATTAACAAATCGTCACCTTAGAATTAATAAGGTTCTATCTGACATTTTTGTCAAAATTTAGTTTTTCACATATTCTTATTAAATGACAACTTATTCATATTATGTGATGTTTTTATAAGTTGTTTACATTTTACCACTTTTTATTTAAAAACAAAAAAGGTTTTATCTACAAAGTTGAACTCTAGCTTGACTCTATAAGGTTCTTTCTGTGAACCAATCAGCATTTTTATTGCACGCATGTGGACCAATCAGGATCAGCTTTTTTTGTAATTTCCCCGGACTGCTCCATTGATAGCGGGAAAGACCAAATCACACAAAAATCACACAAAATCAGAGTCGGCTAAATATTGCTGCACCACACAAATTTGAGAAGCATTTAGAAGCATTTTTTGACACTGAGATGAAATGTTAAATTTTACACTGTTAAAAATAAATTTATATTAAAAAACATAAATTAAATGTCAAATATTTTTATTTTGTA